AACACGATTTTGAAGTTTTTGATGATGGCAACCATATACATATAGAGTAAGGTGGGTGGGAATTTCGACAGGAGTGACACGATTTCAACAGGAGTAACACGATTTCTAAGTTTTTTTGATGATGGTAAACCATATACATATAGAGCAAGGTGCGTGGGTCGGTGGGTATGGGGTGTCAATCTATGAATTGTAGTTTTGGTTGGGAGAGAAGCGATTTTTTTTTGCTAGATTTGTATGTATGTTGATCCCCATTAATTATAACACAACTAACACAGAGATTAAGGGATAAAATAATTAGTACTTAATACAAGTTTATAATAACGCTAGAGGTACGTAGTTCAAATGATAATAGAGATCAACTGTAAATTTAAATATTCTAAATTTGAATTTTGGTAACTCTTTCGGACTAAGCTATGAATACCCTAGTTCTATCATACCAGATTAGATAGAATATTAATCAAAATGCATGTAAGTTGATACATTTAAAATGACACAATTCGAATACAAAACAACAAATATACAAACTTTTTTGTCACGCTAAACTACACGGGTCAATACTTCTGGAAGCATTACCCATGATTACTGTCTCCACTTAGCAACCAAAAATGTCATTAGGTCAATCATCAATTCAAAGTCTACCAATCACCCGGTCAGTACGGCACACAGACCGACAATGATCGTAGACCCGCATGCACCGAGAGCTGTGGAGGACTCATAGCTTGACAATTGGGGCAGCCCCAAACCCACTAAACCGGAACCTCTGTCCACCAGATGACCGAATTTCCCTTGTTTCGCACAGCTTCTGTTTCTTTCTTCCACAAAAAAAANCCGAGAGCTGTGGAGGACTCATAGCTTGACAATTGGGGCAGCCCCAAACCCACTAATCCGGAACCTCTGTCCACCAGATGACCGAATTTCCCTTGTTTCGCACAGCTTCTGTTTCTTTCTTCCACAAAAAAAACAAATGGGGTTTGGCTTTAGTGTGCAGCGAAGACGAAACAAGAGATAAAAATGCAATGGATTTCTTGACGAAGACAAGTCAAAAAGGTATTTTTCGATGATTCTATTTCTAAGTTCTTAGTTAGAAACGATTTCGGCTATGGTATCAAAAAAAATAATTTTTAAACATATTATTTTGTTTTGGGTTGTTAGGTGGACAATAATGTAAACGAAGTGTCTTTTTCCGATATTATACGAGATGAGACAAGACCATTAATTTTAATTAATTCACTTTTGGATAATAATTTGTCAACNCAAAAAAAATAATTTTTAAACATATTATTTTGTTTTGGGTTGTTAGGTGGACAATAATGTAAACGAAGTGTCTATTTCCGATATTACACGAGATGAGACAAGACCATTAATTTTAATTAATTCACTTTTGGATAATAATTTGTCAACCACTTTACATTATTTCAATTAATCTTAGACATGGATTGATGTTTGGATTGGGGGCGAGTCATTATTCTAATATTAATTTCATGTTTGAATGAGCAATTAATGTATGATGTTTAAAAAAAACATTATTTAATGATTCTCTGACCAATTACGGGTACTCTAATCATCTTTTTATAGTTGACAACAACCATGATTTGTTTCATACAATTTATCACATCTTATTAATTAGAGTAATGCAAAATACGTGGAATTAGATAACAGAGTAATATTAGACCCTATTACTTGATTCAAATTTGGTGATAAATTGTGACCGAATGAATTTAATCTAACATTTTTCCGTAATATTTTAACCAAACACCGCCTAAAAATCTATATGGATGACAGCTAGAGTTAAAAGAAAAAGATATGATATCGATAAATAATTTGTTTAAGACGACAATATTATTAAATTATTGACATTGATGACTAATGTAGTTATAGACTGAGACTTTGAGAAGCTGTGATGTTGATAATACCCTTATTCTTTTTGACCTTATATGTGCAGTAGTAGTCACAAGACCGGCCATTTGATATACGTTATTGCAAGAAAACTGTCATACTTGATGGGTCCTTGTTAGGAATTAGAATGTTAGTAGAGGATTATACTATGATTTGTGAATCTTTCATAATGCTTAGTGCAATCTAGAACTATAAAGCTTTGTTCACATTTGAGAAAAAACCTAAATATATGACTAGGTGTGGATAGTTTGACCCTCCAGTCTAAACTAGAAGGTGAACTAGTCTTAGTTTAACATGATCTTTGTACGATGAAATGAACAATCATACTTTTAATGATTTTTGGCCTGAGATTGTCACAAGATGAGAATTGTACAGTCGAGATTTTTTTATAGTACATGTGTAATTGGTGAAGACCGAATCTTTAAAATTGTTATAAGAACTTCGAAATAATAGTTGAAAATCGATTTCTGACCCAACTTGAAACAATCCAAATTCTACCCATTACATTACATGTGGCGAGAGAATTACTGTTGTGGATCAGAATACGGTTTGAACTTTTTTTCTTTTGGACTCTATTATCCTTTTCAGATCTTATCTTTGTTGTCACTTATCTGAACCGCTTTATACTGTTAGGACGGTGCTTGTAAGGCGAACTCTTCACACTCTACCAATCACATGTTTCATAAAAATCGTTTAGTGTACTCCATGAGCATTACACTTGTCCAATGTAAAACCTAATACTGGAAGCAGTGGGTTGGTCGTCTGTGCTTGTTTATTACGGGCGTGACTCTAGTTTTTGACTCAGACCAGACTCTTAGTGGGGGGTGATCACTCACACACATATGTTGGCAATTTTTTATGGGTCATGTAAATCGACATTAACCCAACACGAATTCGATACCAAAAAAATAAAAACACAGACCCAAATGACAACATATGAAGATGACACAATCAGAAAGTGAAACAGGATGGCTCGATTGACACCCTTACGCATACATATACGTATAGGTGATGTNAAAAACACAGACCCAAATGACAACATATGAAGATGACACAATCAGAAAGTGAAACAAGATGGCTCGATTGACACCCTTACGCATACATATACGTATAGGTGATGTCTACATGAATTTGAGGATTTTTGTATGGTTGATCTCTATATGTGACTCGATTGACACCAGGGAATGTGAAGATTCTCATAGTTGATCCCTTTGTTTTGTTGGTTCAATACTGCCCAAACATGATGACTTGTATTCTATGTACTACATTGGACGAACTTTTTCCAACTATAATACCGAGGTGTCCATAGGTTTCCACTTGATCTTACAACAAAATGACCACCATTTTCCTTGTTAACTTCAAAGAAAAACTATGACCATTGTTATCTGTGGGAAGCTAGAATCTGCCCCCAATGACTAAGAATGGGAAGTGGGAACTCGATTATCTGTGGGTCAAGTAAAGTGTTGTGAACGATTTATCAAAAGAGAAAAAGACAGAAAAAAAAGGTGTTATGAACGGAGTCTTGGCATGCAAAGTTGTAGACTTCCTTTTATGAAGAATTTTGTACACCTTCTTGCGACCAGGATTTTGTCTCTATATGTAAGAATGGTCCCATTTTATTGGGCTCATAATAAAAAAAAAAGGGTTGGAGACTGTTTAAATAAAGGACCACAAGCCGTTGACCGTTGAGAACGCTCAGTGTTGTCCACTTGGCAATGTGTCAAAATATATATATATATATAGATATATAGATATATTAATTTAACGGTTAAGAATGTTCAAACCAACTTATATGTAATTCGATTAATCTCCTCCTCAATATATATATATTGATTGGTGTGACGAAATAGTGTAGAAGTAGGACTTAAGATAAAATTTGCAACCCCCCACCCCTTCTTCTCTCTCTTCCCCTCCCCCCAGCCGACTTTACTTGTCACATGAAAAGAACCAAAAGTTACCCATTTTGGCTGAACCTAAGACACTTGGAACCCACGTGTGAGAGCCGAAAGGGTAAATCCAATGTCGACTTGNGATTGGTGTGACGAAATAGTGTAGAAGTAGGACTTAAGATAAAATTTGCAACCCCCAGCCGACTTTACTTGTCACATGAAAAGAACCAAAAGTTACCAATTTTGGCTG